TGCTCATGCTCATGTCTAACAACATCATCCTGCCATCAAAATCTTTGAACAACACTTCTCTAAACAGACAACTCAGTCCGTGAAACCAGAATCCCATCGGTATCAGCATACAGCCACTCCCCATCCATGATCCTTGTCCCGCCCACAGTTATAGGGACGTGCTTCTCTCCAACCCGCTTCTTGTTGGCCTTCATTGGATGTGAAGCCAGAGCCCTGACCCCAATATCGCACCCATTGATTTCATCCACGTCTCGGACACAACCATTCACAACTATGCCAGCCCATCCGTTGTTCTGAGCTTGGACAACAGGATTGCCACCCAATATTGCACACCTCTTGCTACCGCCTCCGTCCACCACAAGAACTCTGCCCTTACCCTTCTCCTCCAGGAACTCACGTACCAACACATTGTCTTCAAACACCTTTAGTGTCACTACTGGTCCTGAAAACACTTGGCGTCGCCCATATATCTGGAAGATTGGCTCCAGGGCTCGTAGTTCACCACTCACAATGAGCTGTGGATTAGCATCACAAACTTCTGCAGTGGTAACCAAGGCCATTTGCTCCAGCACCTTGTGTTTGTAACCAAATATTGAATTCAGTGAACCAGAGATTCTGCTATTTGGTCATTTCTTGAAAGAAAACACAAGTACAAGGACTTTGCTGATAAAAGCACTATCAGAAGCAAGTAAAAACAAAAGGCTTATATGTTCGTGTGCAGTAGAAAGCAGATCATCACAACCAACTTTGAGCCATAGCAAAACAATGTGCAATATCCTCTTGGAAAAGATAGCACACTTATTTGAAGGCTCCTGATCACAAAGGTCAATGACAAGATCAAGGGTTTATCCATGTCATTCTTGTATTTGTTGTTCGGTTCTTGTAAAATGGAGCTCACGAGTTACCAGAAACACAGTTAAAAGTTCAAATTTTCTATACTATTTCAAAAACTAGAACATTTAAATATGAATAATTGTAACCGTTCAAGCTCACTGCTAGTAGATATTGTCTTCTTTGGACTTTCCCTTTCGAATTTCTCCTTGAGGTTTTAAAACGTATCTAATAGAGAGAGGTTTACACGCCCTTATAAGGAATGTTTCATTCTCCTATTCAATTGACGTGGGATCTCACACTAATCCTACTCATCAACATACTCGATAAGATAATTCTCTCATTGCGACATTCCTCAACTTATAAGATTCTACAACCCGGACACAAAGAAGCAGGGTAGCCGTTACAAGGAACTAAGAAGGAACAAAATTATGACTTCCTGAAGTAGACCAAAACTTTTGTGCAAATCATTAAAGATTATTTTATGTCTCTTAAGCCATAAATTCTATCAAACAGCACTAAAGCTGTCACAAGCCTAGATTCTTCCTGATTCTCCACGGGTGAGGAGCTAGAATCAATGTTTTATATATGATATGAGAAACCTGATCCCTTTCGAGTCTTTCATTCTCCACTTTTGTCCATCTCAAATCACTTAAAACGCTACCATAAGAGCAATAAGTCAGTTATAGGCAAATAACCTATAACTTCCGAATCCGAATGCCCATAAAAAGACCTATTGGTCGACCACTGCTGCCTACGATCCTGTCTTAGCTTTGTCCCTAGAACTGTGACCTCATAACATAAACTCAACAACATAGAGTTCTTCACTCGTCTAGGCATCAGCAAGGATAAGTTGAAAAAGGTCAGCAGCTTAAGCCGTAAAGCTTGCACAGTAGAACAGAAAGGAAGAGATGACTTGATCTTCTCCTTGTTATATATCCTTCCAGGGAAAACCAATTTAATCAACCAAAAACAAGGGGAAACCATCTGAAGTTTGCATCCAAAGATTACATTTCGCATTGCTCTCTCATATCTCATTACTCTTCGTAACAATTCAATCCCACCACTAGTAGATATTGTCCACTTTGGCTCGTTATGGATCGCCATGCTTCGTTCCTCTCTCCAATCGAAGTGGGATCTCACAATCCACCCCCCGGAGGCCAGCGTTCTTGCTGGCACACTGCCCGGTATCTGGCTCTAATACCATTTGTAACCGGCCCAAGCCCGCCGCTAGTAGATATTGTCCTCTTTGTTCCGTTACATATAGCCATCAGCCTCACATTTTTAAAACACGTCTCTTAGGGAAAGGTTTCAACACCCTTATAAGGAACGTTTCATTCCCCTCTCCAACCGAGGTCTCCACTCTAGCTCTACTCTCCCTCTATTAGACTAAAGGCATCACTTCTTTCTCACAACTCTTCTAATCATACCCATATTTCTCTTCGCAAATTCTAGCTTTTCAATACAGAAGGTAAGCAATTGCCATAAATATATCAGTTTTGTTCTAGAAAAGAAGAAAAGAAAAAAGACAACAGTTATCAGATGAGATCCCTGCTTCTTGATTATCCATGTACTTTTCTTCTTCTGCCTTAAAGAATGATTACAAAAACAGAGAGCTAAAGGATAAAAAAGCAAGCCAAAAAGCACATAGCCACATACAATGTATTGTGGTGCAGAAATTTCATTCGGGAAAAAGTAACATCAAATCCAAATCAGACAAGTGGCAAGATACATAGGAATGCGAAGAAATTGATGAACAGAAAAAGATCAACAATAGTCATTAAATCAACACAGAAATGATTGATCCCATTAATCCTCAATCTCCACGATCCAACGTTTAGAGTAAATAAACAAACAAGACAACATTAACAATGGAATTCACAGATCTAAACAAAAACCCATCTGAAATCCGAGAAAACGAACATAACCAACATGATCAAACCCAATTAATCAGCGTCAGAAACACAAACTTCACTCATTTCTAACCTGAACAACAACAAAAATGAAAAAAATAAAATAAAAGAAACATTGATTTTGAGCGAAAATGAGCTTGAAACAACTGAGAAGAACGGAAATCTGAATCGCGCAAATCTGAAACAGGAAAAAACCGAAATAAAATCGAAAAATGAAAAGGAAAGAGAGAATGAAATACCTTAGGAAGATGGGGCGGAAAGGGAGTGTTGAAGGTGTAGAGGAAGGAAGAAGGAGATGGGGGGATTGAAGAACAAGTGAGAAAAGCAGAGGAAAAGATGGAAGACGATGGAGTGAAAAGGGAAGAAATTCTGAGGAATCAGTTTGTTATGTGAAACCCAATTATGGCACTCACCTTCTCCTAAATATAACTAAATCTTCCCTCTTTCTTTCCTTACTTTTTTTTTTTTTTTTTAGAATATTATATCATCCATCCAATAAAAAAAAAATTAGAATATTGAGAAGAAAATTAGTGTACGAGATGAGTATCAATGCTACTTTCATTGATAGGCACCATGTCGATGAGTATCAATATTACTTTTGGGCACCATGTCGATGAGTATCAATATTACTTTTAAGCATCATGTCGATGAGTATCAATATTACTTTTATTCTTAGGCAATATGTCAAACTTATTAATTTAAGAATGACATGGTCGATTCGAACATAGTTCAGTGAATAAGATATCAATTATCATCTCAAAAGTTTAGGATCGGATCGGTTATATAAAAATTGATTTTGTTTTCCATTTCAGATGGGTGGACCCCCGAAAAGTATAATTAAAGAATATTTTTAGCACTAATTCACTACTTTAATACAACATCATCATATGATGAACTTTATTATTAGGCTGCCCAAAATGGAAATAATATTCTTTGTTTATAAACCTATTATCTTTCCTTAAATCAGTGAACGTGGGACAAACATATTTTCGATTATATTTAAGATATGAATGTATGTATATACATGTAATGGTCCATGCCTGCCAATACTAGATATTGTCTTCTTTGGGCTTTCTCTTTCGGGCTTCCCCTCAAAGCTTCAAAACATGTCTACTAAGGAGCCACGCCCTTATAAAAAAGATATCGTTGATGTGGGATCTCACAATCCACCCCCCTTCAAGGCTTGACATCATCACTGTCACTTGTTCCCCTCTCCAATTGATGTGGGATCTCATGATCCTCCCCCCTTTGGGGTCTAGTGTCTTCGCTGGCACTCATTCCTCTCCATCAATATAGGATCTCATAATCTACCCGTTTCGAGGCCCAACGTTCTTACTGGCATATCGTCTGGTGTCTGGCTCTGATACCATTATGACGATGTGATGATGTTATATGGTGATATGATGGTGATGCATGATAGTATGATGATGTAAGATGCATGATAATGTGCGTGTACTAAATATCATGATGCAATATGACGACAGATTTTCTAAGACACAACATAATTTGATGTTAATGATGATGAACGTATGAAGGCAATGCATGCACGTTACTTAGAGTAATGTATGAATGATGTATAAGGCTATGTCATAAGAATAATTTAAATATGCAAATTATAGGGACCTCATGCATTTTATTTGTTCATATGCTTCCTATTATGATAATGAGTATGGACGCACACACTATGATGATGATGATCATCATCATGTCTCACATGACAGTTACAGGTTTCTAACCTCCAGACGTCCGACTACAAACAACTAGCTCAACTATGATGGATTCGGGGAGAGGGTGCGAACCGCATGGGAATTCACGCTCGCATGTGTGGACCTTGTGTAGGGTACTACACATCCAATTTTGTTTCATTTGAATGGAGGCCAACCCTGTAATGATTTTGGAATTCACGCTCGCATGTGTGGACCTTGTGTAGGGTACTACACATCCAATTTTGTTTCATCTGAATGGAGGCCAACCCTGTAATGATTTTAACCATAAGTCCCTAATCATGAGTTGCAGGTGTTTGCATTCCCTAACCCCAATAGTGAAGTCATTTACTGAGTATTTTAAGAAATACTCAAGTTGTGTGCTACTCTTGTTCCAGGTAAAGGCAAGACAACTTTATGCCGTTGATGATAACATTGCAAGTAAAAACCATGACACATGCATAAGATTACTTTTAATGTTTTATTTAGTATTTCCTTACGTTGTTTTAAAGACGTTTTCAAACATGTAAGTCTATGAGAGTGTTTTATGATAAAGTTTTAGCTGTTTTATTTATAGATAATAGAATATGCTATAAACCGTAACATCTTTAGGTCAGTAGAGATCCAACGTGATTACATTACACTTATTAGAACAAATGTGATACCAATTCAGCTCAAGTTGTAAACAGATGAGTTATAGTCAGGGAAAGTACATTCATGCTCCCCCCATTTGACATCTGAGGGTGCCTTGTATAGCATTCGACCAACCGGAATGATCTGGTCGACCGGGATATCTTCAGCAGGAATACCGAGTTCGTGCAACAGCTTCCGTTGGGCAGCCTTCCTTGCACCTGGTTGTTGTAGATGTAAAGGAAGATCCGTATTAAGGAGGTTCAAAAAGAGTAAGGAGCAGATCTAACGTTTGTTATAGACATACCAAGGGCATCCTCCTCAATTAGATCAGATTCTTTATACAATGGATGGCTGCAGCACGAGTCCGTCCACGCAAGCGGAAACGTCACCTTTTTAGCAGATCGTTGCTTCATAGATAACATAGAATTAACCATGTTAATGACAACCAAACCATAGATGCCATGAAAACAATAGTTCATTTCTGTCAAAAACATCATCAAAAGAAATGCATATTGATTATCACAAACTTTAACTCTTTCCCTAGAAGTTAAGGAGAGATCTTCGTGAAAAGAGACTAATGGCCAAAAGATACAAACTCCAAAGCTTAAAAGGAAATCCAAGCAAGTGGTCGTTCAAGACGATCACCGAAAAGAACTCGAAGAGTATATATAGATCAAACAGCAACCATTTCAGAGACCGTCCGAATCAAACCTAAATAACATACCTGAATAAGCAGTTCATATTTGGAGTTGAATAGAAAGACGCTGAAAGCGCGATGCAGCCAGTTTTTAGATTCGATATTTTCCATCAAGTGACCTGCAGGTTAGATGAGAACATTGGGCATTATCAATCTACGTAGAGCTCAAAGTGGACAATCTTATACCATTGTAAAGGTTCGTGGTTCCTAACAAACCATAGCAAGGAGACAGAGTTCAATCATGACGGTTAGCTTTGTCAGCTTTGTCATAAGAACTTGCTTCAAAGAAATCAATACAGAAAAAGATTTGACTTACAGTTATACTTGGATTCATGACCCACGACACGATCGTTCTCATCCACTAAAATGCATCTGTCCAGCAACATAGGAGGTTGAAAAATATATTAACGAGTTCGATTCATCAGAGACTAAGTTTTGAATTTAGTGGTGATTCAACCAAGACAAAGATCTCAAACTTGAATTCCTGCAACATTTCTTACTTGCAGATCAATGGGTACGGTGGGATCATAGTCTTGGTCATGCCCATTATTCAAACTCAAACATTGTATCACACAAATTAACCAGATGGGTTCCTTGTTCAGCCAAGGATCCAAGAAATTTTAAGCATCAAATCACCAAGAACCTCAAATGAAATGCAATTAGACTGGTTTCAAACACTTGATCGACAACTTCTCATTCCCTTTCATGGAAAAAAGAGACTCATATTTAATTCTTTCCCCATTCAAATACCACTTCATGTTAAGGATTATTGGGAGGGAGAGCTGTGGTTTCTAACATGGTTCCTCAAATGCCGAACAAAAAAGTTGTGAGCCTCGAAGGTGTAGTAAAAAAATGGCCCAAGTGTCGAACAAAGAGTGTACTTTGTTCAAGGGCTCCACATAAAAGAGTCGAGCCTCAATTAAGGAGAGGTTGTTCGAGAGATTTATAGGCCTTAGGAGAGGCTCAATAGTGTACTTTGTTCTAGGAGAGAGTCTCACGATAGCTAAGTAAGAGAGAGGATAATCAAGAGTTTATAAGTAAGGAATACATCTTCATTAGTGAGAACTTATACTCAAAGTGGACAATATCATACCATTCCAGAGAGTCGTGGTTTCTAATACTTTCACCAACAAGCAGAGCACATGCTAAGCAGACAAACGAGCGGAAAAGGGGACGAACAAGCAGAGCACATGCTCCGATTTCACTCTTTCCCCCACATCAACATAGTCACTTCAAAGAATCAAATTCAAAAAGCAACAAAAGCACATAAAAACCGTAAAAAATGAAAAGAACGTGAAAATCAACATCAGAAGAGACAGAGGCAGAAATAGAAGACTATTACAACTAACATAAAGCACAAATTGACGAGAATGGCTCCAGAAAATTCAACTGAATGTAGAAGAATGTAGGGTTTCATCTCCACAAAAACCTCAAACATCAAATCAATAAACAAAAAAGCATAAAAACCGTAAAAACAAGAAGCTAAACGATATCCGAAACCCTACATCAGAAACCAGAAAGGGAAAGGGAATACGCACCGATCATCGAACATGCGGCGCTTCTGGACTTCGTCCATGCCAGCATCGAGAAGAGCGTCTTCCATGGAATTGCAGGGAGAGACGGGAGAGAGAATCTAAGCGGAAAGATTGGGAGAACAAACAAGAGCGAGATACGAATGCGAAGGAGAGGTGAAGCAGTATATAACAAGTAATGGTGATGAAGAAGAGTCAGTGACATCGTTGGAGAACTGAAATGAATTGCCCGCCATTGTTGTGTTCAGTGGAAAACACTCTCGGCGCGTGTTTTACACGACGGTATGTGGGAGAGTGGCTATTAAATTTGTGTTTTAACCTGAGTGGAACCGAACCAACTCGACTAAGACCGAATCAAATTAGCAATAAGATCTGGACTCGTAAAGCTTCGTTTCCTTCTCCAACAAAAACTCGTTTCCTATTGCGAACACCTCGATTCTCTAATAGCTTTAACCATGCAAAAATCTCTTAAATCAATAGCGAATCAAAAGAAGATGTTCGACTCGTGATAAAAAATTTTGCTAAACTTTTTTACGACTAAAATGAGCAAAATAGTATATGAAAAATGAAATTGTCGGTAATGATAAGTAGATCTGCGAGGGACAACCCGAATTTTTTATCCTATGAACCCGAAACCGAACCGAGTTACTCCAGGTTCAGAAAAAGCAACCCAACCCCACCCAACCCCTATAATTCGGGTTGGGTTGGTCCGGGTTGTCGGGTTGGATGTACACCTCATTATAGATGAATAAATTAAGAAAAACCGTAAAGAAATTAGTTTGCGACAAGCTAGGTTATATTTTGTTGTTGTCCATCTGAAAATGATTTCAACTACCGATATTAATTATTATTATTTAGATATTATAAAAATTTTATAAATATTTTGTAATATATTTATAAATCATGAAACTAATTTCGTTACCAATTAATATTAAATTGAATATAAACTAATAATTTATTGATGATTATAATTATGTTATATACTTTTTATATAATTAATATTTAAAATATGATATAATTTATAATATATTATATTAGACTTATTTAGTTTAACAAAAAAAAAATCAAATTTAGTTTGTAATATGAATATTATATTTATTTTTAATATAATATTACATTATCCAAAAACGTTAAAAAAAACAAAAAAAAAAACATAACAATTAATAAGTAATTAATTATAATTATTTAAAAAGAATTTTATGCCAACTCATTTTAATTAATCATAATTAATTAGTGAAATTTAAGATATGAATAATTAGTTAATTAATATTTTTCAGATTTATTTAATAAGCTTTTCGTACATCTCTCTATTTTAAATTTATTATTTAATTATCTTTTATTAAATAATGTCAAAATTAATTATTGCGTCGTTATTATTATTATTAAATGATCTATTTAACTCTGGTTAATTTATTAACATATTATTATTTATTTTTATACGTGCATAATTAATAATAAAAAAAATACCCATAAACTTTACCCTTTTACTCAAACAAATATTTCTGAACTTTTAAAAGTTTTAATAATACTCAAACTTTTAAAAATAAATATATTTTAAAAATATTGTAAACTTTTTAAATTAATATAAAAAAATTTAGAAATAATCTATGAGCTGTCGATAAACAGTTTTTTTATATATATTATTAAGAATTTTTTGAATTTTTTATAAAGGTTAAAAGTGTTAATCCTATATTTTTTTTAATGTGGTATTAATGGTAAAGGTATTAATGTGGTTAAAAGTGTTAATTTATTAATAAAATGATATTAAAATTCTACCAAAATTGAGGGGAAATAATATTGATTCTAATAGATATTAATGAATGAATGCTCATTAATGAAAAGAATGGGCTCATTAACCCTAACCCTACCCTAAGATATGAAACTAAATACAACTACACTGTGCATGTGTTATGGTCTTTAATTGCGATTTGCGATATTGCCGTCAACCATACAGAGGTACCTTACCTTTATCTGAAATATAGAAGTAACACATGACTTGAGTATTTAAGAAATACTTAGTAAGTGTCCGTACTATTGGGGTCATAGAATGCAACTACATCGAATCATGATAAAGGACCTATCATTTAAAACCATCATAGAGGGGCTTCAACTTCAGACAAATTGGATGTGTAGTACTTCCCTACACACGACCAATACGTGTGAGCGTGAACCCACCAAGGGTTCGCACACTCCCTAGGCTCATCATAGTCAGGCTAGTTGGTTGTAGCAGAACGTTTAGAGGTACAGCAAACCCTTAAATATCATGCAATGCATCATCATCATCGTAGTGTACGCGTCCGTACTTATCGTCATAAAAGGGAAGTATTTCGATTAATAAAAGAGCATACAATATGCATGAGGTCCTTATCTTTTTCATTTTAAAATCATTTATGTGACACAAGACATCCTTCACATATTACTTTAAGTAACATGCATGCATAAGTTTTCATATATTCATCATTTTACTATCAACTACGGGTTGTGTATTAGAAAAACTTATCATGATGCAACATGACTGTAACGACCCGAAATTTTCTCCTTAATTTAAGGTCGCTACTGTATACATATCATAAACATTGAATGTGGAAGACTTCATTTAAATTCCATAAAACATAACCTTTATCTTAAAACACAGCCATGGACTTATGTGTTTCGAAAACATCTTTAAAACGACACAACAAAAGACTAAATAAAATGAATACGAGTTTAAGTTAAATACATCCTATTCTAGCCTAAGACTAAGAAAATAAATACCACTACCTTATGCATGTGTCATGGTCTTGAGTTGCGATGCCGTCGTCAGCCGTACAAGAATCCCTTGCCTTATCCTGAAAAATATAGTAGCATATGGCTTGAGTATCTAAAGAAATACTCACTAAGTGACCCCACTATTGTGGTTAAATGCAACAATCACATGCAATGAGATGATGGGACCTATCTTTCGTTTCATTTTTCCTACGGTGCTGTCCTAACGGGTAATTTTGGACGTATACCATATACTCTACACACAGCCCATACATGCGAGTATGAGCTCATCAGCTAGTTCGCACACCGTTGGGCCACTTTCCTTATCCGGTGGGCATACTCTAGGAGCCCCTTAGGCTGGACACCCGCTAGAACTAGTAACCGTCACGGCAGCGCTATGCAAAGCATAACGATCGTTGTCCTGCCATTGGATGTAAGCGTCCGTACCCTCGTGATGGGATAGGGGTATCCCCCCAAATGCATGAGCACACATAATGAATGAGGTCCCAAAACTTTTCCATTTTCATTATCCTTTCATACAACCCCGCTAGCATTATGTACATATCATATCATTTTTTATATCGTTTCAGATATCGTTCATCATTCATGTCATATCGTTTCTCAAATCATACATAATTTTAACAGAGTTATACTTCATGCCATTTATCGTAATTTCATGTTATTCATATCATGTTGTATACACACAATTTAAGAGACCTAATATAACATTCTATGCTTTTAACATAACATTTCATCATATACACATCATACCATGACATATTGCATCACAATGTATCATATCATAAACGAGTCATAACGTAAACACTTCATAGTCATATCGTTCTCTAACTTATCATAGCCTTAACGTTCTTATACCTATCATAGACATATCATTACGTGAACGTACCTTAGTCATCTCATTACAAGGACTTAACCTAACGCTATCGTTCTATCAATCCTAACGCTATCGTTCTATCAATCTATCACAAACCTATCCCTTTCTACCCGTAGCCTAACCGTATTCTTCCATCAATCTCTCTTATCCATATCACTCCGATATGTAACCTAACCTTAACGTTTCATGAACGTATTTTACTCCTATCGTTACATTCCGTTTTATGCATCCTTCTTGTATCCTATCTCAAACATATCATTGAACTCATCGTACCGTAATTATTATCAAACAATTCACATATTATAACATATACATAACAAATAAGAAGCATATCGATCCACAGACAATTCACACATATCAGTATATATGACACGTGCAGAACCACATGCACGTGTCAACATCAAATATAACCATGTCGATAGTAAGACCACTTACTTGGCTAGCTTAAGTCGTTGTCACAAATATATCCTTAATGAAAGTTCGATTCCGTCATTTGAAATCCGAATCAACCTTTATGAGTCTATGACATCAGTTTTAGGTTTGAACTCTACAACATTATTTTCCTAATTTACATTGGTTCATTGCTAAAAGTTATTTATAATTATATTTTTATTAAAAATCTTCTTTTTCATGGTTACTATGGTATAAGAAAGTAAATACAACTATTTCAAGATATTATGGGATTTACTGCTCTCTGTATTTACACTTGTTTAGTTTAACAAAAAAAAAAAAATCAAATTTAGTTTGTAATATGAATATTATATTTATTTTTAATATAATATTACATTATCCAAAATGTTTAAAAAAAAAAAAACATAACAATTAATAAGTAATTAATTATAATTATTTAAAAAATAATTTTATGCCAACTCATTTTAATTAATCATAATTAATTAGTGAAATTTAAGATATCAATAATTAGTTAATTAATATTTTTCAGTAAACAAGTAATTGAATTTATTTAATATAACAGCTTTTCATCCCTCGTAGACATAACGTCTCTCTATTTTTAATTTATTATTTAATTATTTTTTATTAAATAATGTCAAAATTAATTATTGCGTTGTTGTTATTATTATTAAATGATCTATTTAACTCTTGTTAATTTATTACCACATTATTATTTAGGCATAATTAATAAATAAAAAATACCCATAAACCTTACACTTTTAAAAATACTCAAACTTTAAAAAATAAACACATTTTAAAAATATTCGTGAATTTTTCAAACTAATATAAAAAAATTTGGAGATAATCTATGAGCGGTCGATAGACAGTTTTTGTGTATATATTAATGGTAAGAATTATTGGAAAGAAATGGCTCATTAAACCTAACCCTACCAATATCCTATAATAACTTAAGATCTATGAGACTAAATGCAACTATCATATGCATGTGTCATAGTTTTTAATTGCGATATTGTCGTCAACCATACAAAGGTGCCTTACCTTTACCTAACATATAGAAGTAACACATGGCTTGAGTATTTAAGAAATACGTGACCGTACTATTGGGGTCATGGAATGCAAATACATTGAATCATGATAAAGGACCTATCATTTAAAACCATTATAGAGGTGGCCTCCACTGTGGACAAATTGGATGTGTAGTACTTCCCTACACACAACCAATACGTGCGAGCGTGAGCCCACCAAGGGTTCATACACTCCCTAGGCCCATCATAGTCATAAAAGGGAAGTATCCCGATTAATAAATGAGCATACAATATGCATGAGGTCCTTATCATTATGTGACACAACCCAGACATCCTTCACATATTACTTTAGGTAACATGCATGCATAAGTCTTCATACATTCATCATTTATAACATCATCTAAGGGTTGTGTATTAGAAAAACTTATCATGATGCAACATAACATTTCATACATGTACATCATCGTAACATGATGTATTATCGTACCATGTCATGTCATCACATCATAATACATCGTCATCCTAACCTATGATAGTAACATAGTACATCACATCATCATAGCATCGCAGCATCATCGTAACATATCATAATGTCATATCAAATCGCATTATCATAGCATTATCAATACACATCCTAATACCATAATAACATACATGACACGTGCTATTGGGCACGTGTCATCATACATAAGACAGGTCTTTTGACCGAGCCGATAGTAGAGTCACTTACTTGGTTGGCCTTAACCGACGTTCTCTTTCTATAACTTAGTTTGCTTTTTCCCTTTGAGTTCTTTCTCACTTATACGAGGCTTTACCTATTTGAATATTCGCTCAATAGCTTTAGTAATTCTAATTTTGTAACTTAATTTCACTTGAATTGAGTAGATGAGAGTTATATAGAACTTAAATCCTTTTGATAAGGTCGAAGTTGAATTTAGCACCTGATAGTCGTGATTTGTTCTTTCTATTTTCTACGTCTCTATCCACTTCTCTTTCACAACCGAGGCAATGGAGGTGTTCGTGTAACCTAAAACAACAAACCACGACGTAACTATTTATAGAAAAATAAACTCCCTTACCGACAATAAGACCACGTTGAATACCATGAAGACGGACGTGGTTTGGCATACTGTGGTGTGTCCTGAGTTGTCGGTCGCCACTTCTGCAACGTGTGTCGTCTGTTACGACGTTGGGTCAAATCTCTCTGTCTTGCCGGCATCGCACTCCAAAGAGAAGGTTTTCGTTGGATTTCCTTCTCTTTGTGCTTTGTTATTCTCAAATGGCATGAGGGTTCAGTTGGTTGAAGCGTTGAGGGAGTGTGGCCTTTGTAGGGGTCGAGAGTTGGTTGAAAACGTGAGATCTCTGACACCTCGTTGGAAATCTACACAGAGCTAGGGTATTAGAGTTAAGTTGACTAGATGATGACCTAGGTCAGGACGCCTCCAGAAGACTAAGCACCTTAGGATCGTAAGCGACGAGTAGAGAGACTAGATTCCTAGTTCTCCCAAAGTAAGAAAGACTCGAGGAGTCAAAATAGAGCAACCTACCGTCAAAAGTCCTCGTTAAGCTACCTAGTTTATCTTGGGAATCTAATAGACCACACCTCAATCCTCAGATATGACTGAAGTGAAGTTCAAATTGTAGATTACGTACTTGGGTGATCCGGAATATCTCTCTAACAAAACATGCATGAAAATACTATAGTTAGTGCAGTTTACACGTAAAATCTAATGGTTCGATAATTCAACCTTACTTTTATTTAAAAATTGGCTCACATTATTAAATATAGTGCAAGAAATTTTCAATTTCCACCGAATAACAAAACCTACTGTCAGTTAAGTTATTCGTAGAAGACTGAAAAAGTAAGCATTATTGAGCTGTGGAAGAAATGGATTCAAAAACTAAAAACAACAAGCAGGTTGATTGTTTAAGCTCTCAGGTCAACTTGTGAATTGTTTTCATGTCAGCAGCTTCCTTAAGAGTCCCCTTCTCCGCATGATCCCACCACTTGAACAGAAAATTGTCCACAACTAGCCTGAACCAAGGAGACAGCTTCAAGCCCTCTTCTCCACCATCTGCTTTCCTCACAAGCTCCTTCAACTGCTCCTTGTTTACGTACTTCACATCCGCCACTTCGTCCGGGTTCGGGTTCACGTTGACATCTCGAATGATGAAGAGGAGATAGTCCACTGCACGTTATACTTATTAGAAACAAATGTGATACCAAATCAGCTCAAGTTGTAAACAGATGAGTTATAGTTAGGGAAGGTACATTCATGCTCCCCCCATTTGCCATCTGAGGGTGCCTTGTATAGCATTCGACCAACCGGAATGAACTGGTCGACCGGGACGTCTTCAGCAGGAATACCGAGTTCATCCAACAGCTTCCTTTGTGCAGCATTCCTTGCACCAAGGGCTTCCTCCTCAATTAGTTCAGATTCTCTATACAATGGATGGCTGCAGCAAGTGTTCGTCCAGACAAGCGGAAACGTCACCTTTGTCGCAGATCGTTGCTTCAGAGATGATATCGAGTTCAACACGTTAACATTTTCCGTGTTCGGAATATAGATAAGAAAAATACTAACAACAAAACAAACAAGAAAGCTAGAAAAACCATAGACATCATCAAAACATTAACTTAGTTTCAGCAAGAGACTAACGGAAAAACGATGCAAACTCGAACGTTTAAACATGTAACATCCCAAGTCCACCATTACCCGATATTATCATCTTTGGGTTTTCCCTTTCGGACTTTCTAAACACATCTGCTACGGAGAGGTTTCCTAATCCTTATAAAGAATGTTTCGTTCCCCTCTCCAACCAATGTGGGATCTCACAATTCACCCACTTTCGGGGCCCAACGTCCTCACTGGCACTGGTTTCCCTCTCCAATCGATGTGGGATCTCATAATCTACACCCTTTATGGGTCTAGCATCCTCGTTGGCACTCGTTCCTCTCACCAATCAATGTGAGATCTCACAAAAAAGCCACCATTTCAGAAACGGTCCAAATCAAATCCAAATAGCATACCTGAAGAAGCAATTCGTATTTGGAGTTGAATAGAAAGACGCTGAAAGCGCGATGCAGCCAGTTTTTAAATTCAATATTTTCCATCAAGTGACCTGCAGGTTAGACGAGAACATTGGGCATTATCAAACTACGTAGAGCTTGAAGTAGACAATATCATACCACTATAGCAACGAGACAAGAGTTCTAAAGTAAAATAAGCAAATCATGACTGTTAGCATTGTCATAAGAACTTGCTTCAAAGAAATCAATACTGGAAAAGATTTAACTTACAGTTATACTTGGATTCATGACCCACAACACGATCGTTCTCATCCACTAAAATGCATCTATCCAGCAATTCAAGATCGACAGAAGGTATTTGTGAGTAAGTGAATGAATTATATCCGAGTGTACTAAGTGAATGAATTCAAACTAAACACCTTCAAAACTGTTGGCCATGCCATGATTCAAACTCAAACATTGTATCATACAAATTAAGCCAGAGATGTTCAGATCCCAGAAAACTTTTAAGCATCAAATCATCAAGAACTTCAAATGAAATGTAATTCGACTGGTTTCAAACACTTGACCAACAACTTCTCATTCCCTTTCCAGGAAAAAAGAGACTCAGATTTAATTCCTTCCCCATTCAAATACTTCTTCCACCAACAAGCAGAGCACATGCTAATCGGACAAACGAGAGAAAAAAGGGATCGATAAACTATACGTTAGAAATCACGACTCTCCACAATAGTATGATATTGTCCACTTTAAGCATAAGCTCTCATGGCTCGTTTGAAAGGACTTAAAAATCAAATTCAAAAGAACCAAAAACGCATAAACCGAAGAAACTGGATCCAGATTGAGCATATCAAATCAGGAATCTCAACAACTAGTCAGAGAAATCAAAAAACACAAAAAAGAATCAAAGAATCAAAGTCCAAAGCAACATCAGAAAGAGAAAGAGACAGAAACAGAAACAGAGGGCCATTAAACTGAGGTCGTTTGCAAGCGTTTTCAACCTACAACTTCCTTCAAAGGTCTCGGATTCGATAATCATTCAAATTCAAGTAACGTAAAGTACAAATAGACCAGAAGAGCTCCACAGAAACCTCAAACCTCAAATCATCAAGAATCGAAATCAAGAATGCCCCACCAGAAACAGAAAGAAATCAATCAAGAATCAACGAAAGTCAAAAGCAAAAAACAAGAAACGAAACGGAATCTGAAACCAGATAGGGAAAGGAAATACGCACTCGTCGTCGAACATGAGGCGCTTCTGGACTTCGTCCATGCCAGAATCGAGAAGTATGTCTGCCATGGGAGGAAATGAGGGAAAATCTGAGGGAAAGATTGGGAGAAGAGCGAAAGACGAGAGAGAAATAGAGAGGGGAAGCAGTATTTAACGAGTGGTAATGATCAAGAAGGGTGAGCGTTGAAGCGCTCGCCATTGTTGTGTTGACTGTTGATTGGAAGACACTTGATTTGCTTCCATGGATGACATTCTTGTTTATTTTTTTTCTGCGCGTGTTTTGCACGACGCTATTTGGGAGAGTGGTTGTTAAATATGTGTTTATTAAAACTGTAATTAGTTGGAAAATTTAGAATTTTGTCATGATTTAATACCCTAAATTAATAAAAATACATATAGATTTTATAAAACTTTTAATTCTTTCGTTTAATAAAGTTCGTTGGTTATAAATATAAATGGTAACTCTTAAATTTCATAATACCCTTTTTAACCTTTTTTTTTTTTATATTAAATATTAAAATATATTTTTATCGTTAATACCATATTTAAAAAAATACTCACGAATACCACTAAGATGTGTCATTCAGGGTTATTTGATTGTTATCATCATTACCAGCATCCTCGCTAACACACCGCCCAATGTCTAGCTTTGATATCATTTATAGTTGTCCAACTCAATCGTCAGTAGATATTGTCCTCTTTTGACTTGGACTTTTCCCTTCTGAGCTTCTCTTCAAAGTTTTAAAATGGGTCTTAGAAGCAATATTCTGTTTCTCTCTCCAACCAATGTGGTGAGATCTCACATGATTACAAGTAAGAGTTTGTACTTTTCTCGTAACGTGTTTGAAGTATCTATCATCCTCAAGTTCCAACTCCATCACTAGTAAAAGTAGATGACCCTCGACGGTGTCATCATGGTAACATTATAACATAGGCAAGCACTGTAATGTCTGTCAACTAAGACACATATGTGGGCTAACCATAATAATCCTAAAAATAAAGCAGAGTTGGGTTGAATTGGATTGTAGCCCTATTTTCGAGTTGGTCAGGTTGACACGACAAAACAAAATATCAACCTCCGAACTAACCGACATTTTCTGTTTTCCAAAAATTCAAACCAACCCAAATCTTAAAAAAAAAAAAAAAAAAAAAACCTCTAATTTAAATAACAATAATTAACTAATTAAATATATTTAAGATATCAATAATTAATTAATTAATATTTTTCAGTAAACAAGTAATTAAATTTATTTAATAAGCTTTTATTAGTATAGCTGAATTAAATATATGTTTTATACATTATGGCCGATTTATTCTAATTAAATAACTAATTAACTAACTATAATAAAAATAAAATCATATAACAATAATTTTTTATATAATAAAAACAATAATACTTCTATCATATAAAAAAATCTATTTATTTATTTTTCTTTTCTTTAATATGAATTTTTTATTTTTTATTTTATCTATTTGTTTATGTGTGTTTTTTTAAAAAATATTTATCTATTTCTTTTCATATTTCTTTTCATTTTTTTTATCGATTAATTTTTCTTAAAAATTATATATATATATATATATAGTAAAACATTAATTATGAGACTTTATAACGTAACGAAAATAATTTTTAATGTTGAATTTGGTGTATATTAGATCTATAATATATTTAAAATTGTTTTTAAAATTAAATTTTAGGTATAATAACACTAATATTTTAATTTTTGTAAATTTTTAAAAAGTTTACTTTTTTTTTTTTTTAAATAATAATATACTAACTAAATCTTGTAATTTAAGGTGAGAGAAAAAGGTTAAGAAATGGCGGCAATTAAGAGTTTCATAAAGCTAGGCTTTTGATCTTTGGCGGCCCGAGTGAGGATTGGGCATGGCGAGAGAGAAGAGCCCTGGTCTAAAGATCCTCTGGGTTTGGACTCTTGGCACCGCCGCCATTCTCGTTACGAGCGTAGCTCGGATGAGAATGAGGGATATGGAGAGTATCATCAAGTCCGATCAACAACAACAATCGATGCACCAGCAGCGACAAACGTCTTCCACCGATTCGTTTTTCGTTGGCGAAGGTGAAACATCTGAGAATTAGAAGTAACAATTCCTTTGAAATTCAACTCAAACTGGTAATTTTATTTTCGAATTTGGAATAGAGGGTCTGGGTATTTGTTAAATCCCATTTTTAGTGGCGTGTACATAAGGTGTTTGATGAAATTCCTGAATGGAAAAAATTGCCAATTTTTCACTCGTAATGAGCTTGCACTTGCCTTGAATATTTGATGTGTCGATTTCAGTGAACTGTTTTAGGTTAGCTGCCACATTTGATGTATAGACACAAAATGCCTCTGTGTTGAATTTGATATGATCTTTGTTCAATAAATGTTTGTTGTAATTGCTGGTTGGAACTGTCCATTTTTCCACTCTTATTGAGCTTGCAACTGCTTTGACATGTCAATTTTGGGTTAAATTGATATATTTAATTGGGTTTAGATGACTTCATCTGCCACTTAGTTACAATTTGGTGCTTAGAATGAGACTTTGTAGCAGATATTGTCTTTATTTGGACTTTTCCTTTCGGACTTTTCCTTAAGGTTTTAAAATGCGTCTGCTAGAGAGAGGTTTTCACACCCTTATAAGGAATGTTTCGTTCCCCACTCAAACTAATGTTGGATCTCACAATTTACATCTTTAGGGGGTCATCGTCCTCGTTTCACACCGTTCGGTGTCTGGCTCTGATACTATTTGTAACCGCTCAAACCCACAGCTAACAAATATTGTCCTCTTCGGGCTTTCATTTTTGGGCTTCTCAACTTTTTTAAAACGCGTCTGCTAGGGAGAGGTTTCCACACCCTTATAAACAATGTTTCGTTCTTCTCCTCAACTAACGTGGGATTTCACAGACTTTGAAACAGTTTTTCAGGCCGACTTTATTATCATTTTTCTTTTACAACTGCACTTTTTATCACCGCCCTTCAAAGTTCTGTCTGGGCCATTTTCAAAATCAATGTCTTGGTTCTCCTTCCTTCCATTACCCATAGAAACTCTTGTTGGTCAAATACTGTGGTTTTCAAATTCTCTGTGGGGTAGCGTTTATTAAACATTAGAATATGTTTTACATAAAACGGTTTAATTACAAATTTGGCTCTATGATAGAAGAAGGTTAGAATTTAGTGTTTATGATTTTAAAGGTTAGAATTTAGTGTTTATGATTTTAAAGGTTAGAATTAGTCTCTATGATTTGATAAAACTTTTATAAACAGTCCCTTTCGACTGTTTATGAATTTTTATCAAAGCATTTGCAATTTAATTAACATAAGTGTGTTGAATGGAGATCAAAACCCCTTCAAAGTGAGAGCTGCAAGAAGAAAACAGAGGGAAAAAAAAAAAAAAAATAGCAACGATACTGATGGTTTAACAACAAATGTAGACTTGTTCCATTTGGATTAATTTTGGTCGGTTCAGTTAGTTGTTATTGGATGGCCAGTTCGCTTACTTTTGTTTTCAAAAAGTCCTCTCGTTGGTGTTATATTTTTTCTGGAATCCAATAGATTGGTTGAAAAAGTCTTTGTTTTAGGATGTTGGTTTGCAGTTGCAAATATTATCGTCTATGAGCATAATCATGAGTTGAGGTTGCTTAACTTCACCCTTTATTATTAGCCTTTAAGATCAAGTTGAATGGTGTATGGTTAAGCTGCTCCTTTATATGGAGACGAGACCAAAGTAGAGTAATAAAACGCTTCAATAGATTGGAACTACGATAATTATGAGATCTCACATCGATTTGACAAGGGAACAAAGTATTCTTTACAAGGGTGTGGAAATTGTTGGATGATGAAAGTCCCACGTCGACTAATTTAGAGTATAATCATAGGTTCATAATCAAAGAATACTCTCTCCACCGGTATGAGGCCTTTTGGGGAAACTCAAAGCAAAGCCATGAGAGCTTATGCTCAAATTGAACAATATCATACCATTGTGAAGAGTCGTGTTCGTCTAATATGGTATCAGAACCATGCCCTAAACTTAGTTGTGCCAATAGATTGGTAAATACTCAAATGTCGAACAAAGGACTTCAAAAGAAAAAGGAGTCAACCCTCCTCGAAGGCATAGTAAAAAATGACTAAGACTCCAAAAGAGTCGAGCCTCGATTAAAGGGAGACGTACTTTGTTCGAGGGGAGGTGTTGGATGATGAAAGTCCCACATCGGCTAATTTAGGGAATGATCATGAGGAATACTATCTCCATTGGTATGAGACCTTTTGGGGAAGCCCAAAGCAAAGCCATGAGAGCTTATGCCCAAAGTGGACAATATCATACCATTATGGAGAGTCGTGATTCCTAACATGGTATCAGAGCCATGCCCTAAACTTAGTCATGACAATAGAATCCTCAAATGTCGAACAAAGTATTGTGAGCTTCAAAGGCATAGTAAAAAATGACTAAGACTCAAGAAGAAAATGAGTCGAGCCTCGATTAAGGGGAGGTGTTGGATGAAAGTCCCACATCGGCTAATTTAGGAAATAATCATGAGGAATATTATCTCCATTGGTATGAGGCCTTTTGGGGAAGCCCAAAGCAAAGCCATGAGAGCTTATGCTCAAGGTGGACAATATCATACTATTGTGGAGAGTCATGATTCCTAACAGAAACTTCTCCCTAACAAACGTGTTTTAAAATTGTGAGATTGACGGCAATATGTAATGAGCCAAAACGGACAATATCTGCTAGCGGTGGGCTCGATATATTACAAATGGTTTTAGAGTTAGACACTGGGCGGTGTGCCAGCGAGGATGGTGGCCTCCAAGGAGAGTGGATTGTGAGATCCCACATCGAATGGAGAGAGGAACGAAACATTTTTTTCTAAGGGTGTGGAAACCTCTCCCTAACATGTGTTTTAAAACCATGGGGTTGACGGTGATGCGTAACAGGCCAAAACAGACACTATCTGGTAGTGGTGGGTTTGAGCTTTCGTTGATGAATTGCATGATATCTTAGGTGCAAAAATGTTTTCAAGAGTATGCACATTTCAACCTTATATTATAGGACGTTCTTGAATAGGATTTGTCTCCTTAACAACGACCTCTCCTCCTACATTCTTTTTTATGTCTAGCACAAAACTGCCTTTAGTTTGATTACTGCAAATTATAGCATGTTGAAAGGCATGGACTCCTTTGGCTTGTATGCAAGAGATATGATCCATGAGAATGTACAGGTTTAGTAGACCACGTTAGACAAAAGAAATAACACTCTGAGATCCCACATCGATTAGAGAGATGAACGAGTGCTAGTGAGGATCTTAAGCTTCAAAGAGGGGGTGGATTGTGAAATTCCATCTCGCTCGATTGGAGAGAGAAACAAAACATTTTTTATAAAGGTGTTGAAACCTCTCCTTAACAGATGCGTATTAAAAATCTGGAGGAGAAGTTCGAAAGGAAAAGTCTTAAGTCCAAAGACGACAATATCTATTAGCAGTGGACTTGGCCCATTACAAACATACATTGTTTATATGATCCTCTCAAAGGATTAATTCGTCTAATCATTTGATGTTCTGTTATTCTCAATAAATGTATTATATGTTGTTATCGATGAATTAAAAAAAAAAAAATACACATGGAATATAATTAAGAGAATAAAATATTGACAAAATAGATTTATGAAGACTAGAATGCTCAATAAGATACAATTTCTTAAAAAGTAAGCCAATGGAGAATAATATGTCGCTAATATTCAATTTAATAAAATGGATAAATACAAATATTAGGAATTAATACTTTAAATTCTATTTTATCCGTTTTAAATTAGTTCCAAAATTTCATCGCATCTTAGATTTATCAATTCGAACGAGAAAATTGAAAAAAAAAAAAGAGTATGTCGTCCTTATAATTTTCGTAACGTGTATTTTGTACAAAAAAAACCTTTGAAAAACGGAATCATATCTTGTTATCTTCGTGTTGTTTAATTATATAATAGAATATCGTTCCTATCTGCTAAATAATTTTAAAAATTTTAATCGATAAATATGATAGTAAAAGATTCTCGTACTCTAACTTTATTACGAGTTTTGTTTAGTACCCATTGTTACGATGAAATAACAAATTTATTTCTTTAAAAAAAAGGAAATGTTAGATATTCTTATTCTCGTACTCATGACATTCTCTCAATTTCACACGAGGTATGTCTGTATTTAAATTAATTTTAATTTTTTATGATATGTCAAATATTTTTGTTTGAATTATACATTATGTACATTTTGTATGGTGTGGTTATTGCATGAAGTATGCCGTTTAGATTAAAATCACACTATAGGTTAAGTATTATCATGCCTCTCTATTTTTTTAATATAATTATTATTTAGGAAAATTATTATTATTATTTTTTAATGTTTTCCATAATTTGAATATAATGGTTATATTTCAAAAGATATCTTCCTAATTAGTTTAAATTTATATTTAAAAATTAATTGAAAATTTAGATTAAGATATTTAATTTATTATTGGATCTTATACTATAATTACTTTTAAATTTTTATATATTTAAATATAAATAGTGTAGTTAGAAATTAATTAGAATATTGAATTAAAATTTCTAATAACAATCTTCCAATCAGTCTTTCTTTCACTTTGCTCGAGAGGTGGGTCTTGCAGCCAAGTGTCACGGTCATGTTCGTCCAAGGCGTGTTGCCCATGACGAACCAAACCCTTTATGTCTTTTCATGTTCTAGTGTTTTACTTTTGTATTTCTAGGAAGTATGACGTTTCAGAAATATCATGTCTAGGGCTGCCAAACATGAAATGCCTCAGAATTTACTATACGGGGATACGACTAGTTGTTACCTTCTCCCTACCCAAGGTTATATACTGTGAGCCGTTGTTATTTTTCTCTTGCTTGCTTATATAACGTCTCTTTCAAAAATCTCTCTGCCCTCGTTTTCTAAAATCTGGCTCTGATACCGTGAATAGTTTGGTCTAGAATGTGCCAATGAATCTACCATCCCTATCACTGATGATGCTCGACGGAATGCCCCGTAACTTTACAATGTGTTTGAAAACTAGTTGGGCTGATAGTTCAGCCGAGCATAATTTGGGAGTGGGGACGAATGTCGCATATTTCGAGAAAGCTTCCAAGCATATGAAGAAGTAGGCAGACAAGAAGTGTTGCCCCCTCTAATTCCGAGCAGGAGATCAAGTTCTCATCAAGTTGAGACTAGAACAGATTAGATTTCGCAGCCGAAAGGACCAGAGACTAGTTTGAAAATATGAAGGCTCGGTTGAAGTCATTAAAAAGATTGGGGCTACCTCCTATAGAGTTGCGCTACCCACATGGATGAAAATACACCAGTCATTCATGTGAGCAACTTGAAGCCCTATCACCTTGACCAAACGACGACCAGCGAAATGTAATCACT